GTTTCATCAGGATTGTGCTTGGTAAAAGAATGAGTTGTTTGTAAGACTTTATTTTGAAAAGCTGCCAACTTATGCATTATCTCAAATGCACGACAGACACCTTGGACACAGTTGAAACTGCAAAGAAGTTTCGGGCTCGTCCTCAGCATTTTGGGAAAGTTAAGGAGGGGTACGCTTTGTGTGCGATGAGCCTTCCTTTCCTTTCCCCTCCTGGCCTACATGTAGCCGTACCCTCCCCCCCTTCCGTTTCACCTTGGAGAGAGGGTACGGCTACACGTAGGCTATTCCCCTCCCAACATTCCAAACATTCCACCTCTTCTGTATATTGTTTAAAAGTAGCTCAAACCGATTTGCAAAGAAGTCTTCAGCCAAACTACTTCACTCTTCTAACACTCCACAACAGAAAGAGGCCTGTGTACTATTCACAATATTTTTGCCTTTTTTTTTCTATCGTTTTTCTTCCGTCTCACTGACATTTGACGCTATTTGCTTTCTCGGTAGTCAAATCACCTCCAGGAATGAACCATGTGAAACCAGAATGCTGTCTTGAAATTTTCCGAAGGATTGAATTACGACTGAAACAACCCAGAATTGTCGCATTCCTTTCAGATACTCCAATGCCTTCTGTTAGCCACCAACTTTGCCTCGCCCCGGGGATTGACAACCTCGTTCCCCGGGCTTTTCCCTTTTTGAATATTTTGGCGGGCGGGAAAAAATATTCAAAAAGGGAAAAGCCCTGGGAACGAGGTTGGGGGATTGACTTAAAGGCCAAACACCGACATCGAATGAGTTGATTTTTCACATGAAGTACACTAGAATAGCTTGGCAGAGAAATGGTATTAAAATGACTTCAACTGTTGCCGCCAGGTCTGTTTATATTCCAAAATAATAGAATACAACAGACGAAATTCACGCCTGCATTTACGGGGCGAACGTCACTCAATAAGAGGTAGAATGAACACCGCCATGACTCTGTGTGTTCTCTGATGATGTTGGTATTGTTTGGCGCTCGCTTATTTCAAACGGGAACGAAATTATCAAATTGCTCTTAATTTTTCATGAGTGGCCTCTATTTGATTAATTCATAGCTATAGTCCTAAAAGTGTACCCCGCCGAGTTTCCAGAGGGTTTCTTAGCGAACAGCTTTACCAGGTTCTCTCTTCTTCAGCCCCCTCCCCCAACCACCCCCACCCCACAAAAAAAATAAAGAAAGAAAATGCAAAAGAAGGGAAAAGAGTGAAACTGGGAACGAGGTTCTGCAAGAACGCTGAGGTTTACGTCTGTCTTTACTCCCTCCCCACTTACTTTCTCCCCACCGCCCTTGCGGCAATTTGTTCCAGGTCAAACACCGGTCAGTACTCCATTTGAGCAGCCTCAAGGGGATTCTAAGTGAACGTCTCTGAACCGGAGACAACGACTAAGAAGAAATGCATGCAGTTCAAGTGCACTTTAACCGAAACCGAGTTCTAAGCCGGACCGTAATCAAGAAAATCGGTCGAAAAACTGATTTTCACAACGGCAAGAGAAGATGAAGTTAGAAACCAATTTTAAAAGGGATGAATGCAGAAATACACATTGTACATGGTATTTCTGGCTTAATTGACTGATTGAATAATGTAAATGGGCCACCGTTAAGAGATTCAAAGCTGACGTCTAGCGCCTTAGCCCTTCGTCAGAGCTCACAGGACGCACCTCTCTGACCACTGTTCCGCTTAGACGCCCGCGATTACTGAGGTCGCTGACTATAAATTCTGATCATGCGCCAGATTTGGCGGCTGATTTCAAAAATGGCCGCCATCACTCCCTTCCAAATATGTGGATACGTGAATACATGTTGTTTACCAGAGCTTTTTTCTCCATTTGAGACATAAATTACTACATCTTTATATTGCCAGATCGGGAGGCCATGATATAAGGCAACAAATAATAGATGCAATTACAGCGAAGAAAATTCATCGACTGCAATTTTTTGTGTACGACATATCAGGTGCTGCGACAACAGAGAGAGTTCTAATGTCGTCTTTGTTTTCCATCGGTGACGACGAGCTGGACCTTGATGATGAGGTGAGAACTAAGAGTTCTTTTGGAAAGATTTTATGAATTATCCACACAGATAAATGTGTGCGTAATAAACGAAGTGCAGGTACTCTACTCTTTTAATTGTTCCCAGAAAAGATCGATCATAACTGAGAAAAAAAAAACTATCTTTCCCATACCGTTGTATTACCAAATAAAATTAAGAAGAGAGATAGCCAAATTATCCTCTGATAGCACTGAAAAATCATTTATTCTGGTTTAAAAAGAGTACTTGCTGGAGTAGAAAGGGCTGACGACACTAACTTTTCAACTTACTAGCTAAGTGGCTAGTGACATCTTAGATGTTACGACAATTCTAGTTTGTTTACTTACTGGAAATCAAAATCCACCAGCCAAAATTGAATTTCTACTAGTTTGTGGCTAGTGAGCTACCGTTAGTGTTGAACCCTGGTAGAAATGATCTTCTGATAGAACTGAAAAATAATTTTATTTTGGTTTAAAAAGAGTACCTGTGAGGGAATAGTTGTCTTAAGAAATGGAAAGGTTAGCCCTCTACTCCCTAACATCAGTATTATTATTCTCTACACTGTCCTCCTTAGATTTCCTAAGGTACTGACAAGGAGAATTTGTTCGACAATCATAACATAACATAACATAATCTTTATTTCTTAAGATAAAATCACATATCCTAAGTTACAACATAAACTCACAAGGGAAACTATAACATGTCATATTTAAAAATTATCCTATTACTAAAAACGTTCGTAAACCTTTCAGTGTGGATTCTAGGAACAGAGACTGACCTATTTCTAAGATTGTACCTCATGTTCTTTTCCTTAGGTAAAAACTGGAAAAACGGGCATTCAGGGTCATTCGATCTTTTTTTGTAGAGTGCCTTGTCTGCCTTCTCTATCAGGAAATCAGGAAATTTTTAAACTAGTGCTCCTTTATTTTCTATATTATTATAATTATTTAAACTTGTGATCCTTCATTTCTTATATTATTGTAATTATTTAAACTAGTGCTCCTTTATTTTCTATATTATTATAATTATTTAAACTAGTGATCCTTCATTTCCTATATTATTATAATTATTTAAACTAGTGATCCTTCATTTCCTATATTATTATAATTATTTAAACTAGTGATCCTTCATTTCCTATATTATTATAATTATTTAAACTAGTGATCCTTCATTTCCTATATTATTATAATTATTTAAACTAGTGATCCTTCATTTCCTATATTATTATAATTATTTAAACTAGTGATCCTTCATTTCCTATATTATTATAATTATTTAAACTAGTGATCCTTCATTTCCTATATTATTATAATTATTTAAACTAGTGATCCTTCATTTCCTATATTATTATAATTATTTAAACTAGTGATCCNCTGAAAAACAAATTAAAATAAAGGTTTTGATTGACTGATTGATTGAGGGGCCCAGGGATTGGTTAATTTGCTGCTTGAATTGGACTTAGAAAAAAAATACATGTGCTTCATTTACAGTCGGAGATTACTTGGATATAATTTATGATTTACTTGCATGTTTGTTGTGGGCAGTTATTATTTCTTTTATTCATTGTAGGATTGTTTGTTAGCAGTGTGTGAGGGAGGTAGCACTGTGGGCTCCATCACACATAATTCTAAGAAAAATGCGAATGCAAATTCGAACCAAAACCAGCCCATAACAAAAGAACTCTTGAGGACAAGAGAAGTGGAGAAATTCAACAATTTCTACTCAAGGAGGCCATTTGAATCACTTAGTAACAGAGACAGTTTTGATAGAGTTGTTGAGAAGAACATACATGTAACTTCCAGACAACAATTACGCAGTGGTGCATCTTTTGCAAACTCAATAGACTGTTCGACAAATAGCTCAGATGTATTGGGTAATGGATATACTGAACCCTTAGCAAAGAGATTTGCGGCAGATCATATATCAGCATCTGAATCTCCATTTGAAAGTAGAACCAGCTCGTTACATTCAGGTGATGCACCAACAGCCCAGAGCATGTGCAGTTCCACTACCTTCCTAAGGCATGCAACAGTGGGAGATTTTAGAAATTTTGCACAGCAAAACTTTGGATCTAATTCAGCGTCACTTGAATCTAATAGCAGAATGGATCTATCACACAATGGCTCTTCCAAGTACAATCTTTCCTCAAGCTTCTCTTCCAAGAAAGGAGTTTCTGAATACAACCATGGTTTTTTGAACAGTAATAGACAAGTCTCTGCAAATGCTAAGAATTATGCTACCGATACTTCTGCTTTACAGCAGAGATGGATGCCAAGAAGCTCGCCTGTAATGAATAATCAATCAAAGGATTTTCCCAAGCAAGTTAACAGAACAAGCTCACCATTATCCAGCCAGTCCGTAAGGAGCTCATCCTTCAGACTCAACAAAGACATGATGGGGAGTAAAGCCCCCGAAACTCCTCTCATGCGGAGTAATTTAGAAGTTCCTGGTTTAAGTACACCACACACACACCAAACTATTACACCAGATGCAGGCAAGATCTCTGCAAGAACTCCATTTAGTGGCAAAACCCCAAAGGCAAGGAAATTTCCAGGACCAGCTGGGCTTCTGCCAAAACTGGTAACTAAGATAAAGACATTTTAATGTTAGTTCAATGTGATTTATCTGTGTAGATCAATGAATGGTTTAAAAAAAGCTATTCAAATTTCCCTTGAAGGTATAAGGAGTTAAAAATATTTGAAATTATTTTCAGTTTTTGTTTATCCAGGGCTCGAAATTGACAGTAACCTGTTAACCAATGGTTAGTAATTTTCAACATTTGGTTACTAAAAATGTGTCCAACTAACCTGACATGGTTAGTAAAATTTTCTAACATACCCGTATTTAAACATTGGTGGACCTCAGGACAAAGAGCACGTAGACCCCACTCTCAGAGGAATAATTAGAATACTCAAGTTGTTAAATCAAATTAAACTCTTTTTAGAGAATGTGCTGTACATAGATGTACTGTTCTTGACTAATCATGGTAAACAAGAGGAAAATAAGATAAGTGCATAATTGTCAACGTTTTTGAGGTCACCATGCAATTTCAGGTACTCTTTAATTTGTCCTAGTCGTTACTATCAAAATCTTGCTTATTTGAGATATCGTAACTTTGTGAGCTTGGATACCAAACTTTATAATTTGGTTAGTAAAAAAGATGTCTGCTAACCCGCTCCAAAAATTAAATTTGAGCCCTGGTTTATCCCCTGGAGATCCTCATTGTGGACCTGGAGGTGGCACTCAAAGGGTTGTCATTATGATAGTGATATGATTGCTCTTAGTGACTTTTCAGGGAACCTCTGATATTCAGCTACCAGAGATGAATTTGAGAGATCTCATGTCTACCTGTATTGGTGTACTAGTAATATTACTGTGAGGAAATCCTTTATGATTAAATTTTGTTCACAGAGTCCTGGTCAAAACCTGGACAATTCATCTGTTGCCTCACCACTTCCTTCCTTGAGAAAAAAAAAATCTCCAATTGAAAACAAAGTGCAAGTAAGTTAACATTATGACTGATTTTTACAATGGATGCGACAAACTTGAAATACATGAAGTAAAACTGTGCCAAATGTACCATGTGAAATGGCTATGAGTCATACAAACACTGCTTGAGTGCTAGTTTGTTCTGTAAAACCGAGCATTTTATCGTTGCTAACTCATTCATTTTTTACCCTTAAAGGCTTCTCAGCCAAATTCTTTTGAAGACGAAGATTTTAATCATGATCCATGGACTTTCATGCACCAGGAATTTGTTAAAAGTAAGAATTGCTAGTGTTAAAGGAAGGCATACTGGAACATGTTTTGTAGATAATTATAAGGTACACTGTACCCTTTCTTTTGCATTGATATCAACTTTCTTATGCATCACGTCAAAACCCCTGATGTCCCAGTCAACCCAACAATGATCACCTTTGATGATTTGGTTTTATCAACTAATAATGTAAATTGACCATCTTAAAGATTTAAAACCTGACATTTTAAATATTAGCCCTTTATCAGAGTGAATAGAGGAGTTATGGGTTGACTGTGTGGTTTTTGGTAGGAATGTGGTAAGGTGAAAAAATGATAATGTGAGTTGATGTTTGTAGGGCTGGACAGGTTGATGTGACATTACTTTTTCAGACTTTTTCAAACTTTTTCAAAGAAAGGTGAATTCCAGTTGTGAACTTGAAATTAAAGGAAAACAGATTTGAGAAAATACGTCACATTTTTCGATGAATTATGAATTCCTTGTTCTTGTTCTGTGTTATCATATTTCATTTCATACATATATATGTTTTTGTTCAATTTCTTTATCACAGATGTTCCAATGGCAATGAGATACACTATCATCCAGGTTTATAGCGAGGTATGTTTCTAGGCACGTGGACCTTTTATCCATTTCACTCCCATGATCTTCTATAATAATTCTCCTTACAGTCTGCTCTACAATTCTTAAAATGCAAGTTTGGAGAATTTGGTGTTGGATCAACCAATGATCCCCTAATTGATATTTTTCTTTATTCTCATGGCTTGTCTACTTGATATTGTATTGATAATGTAAGAAGAAATTCTGTCTTGATCATTCATGGGAGTGAGAGGGTCAATCAGACATGATTTCAACAACAATGATGACTTCTGCTTAAGTTGGGAGAATGACCTGGACGTTGGCACAATCAACATTTCTTCCCAAGATTACAGTACCCTTAATGGTTAATTTGTTTCATTTAGGCAATTCAACAAAGACTTCGTCATGGTAAAGTGCCCTGCCTCTGTGCTCTGGTCAAAGCCTTTTCATTGACAGAAGCAGATGCTAGTGTTTTGCTCAGAGATCCTACAGGTAACATGCATAGGTGTTCACGGACTGTATCTTATGTTCCTTTGTGTCTTTAGAACATTTTTAATTTGAGGGTTGATATGATCCTAGGAAGGCATAATGTATTATCCTTCTATGTACTTCGCAGGTGAGATTCATGGCACTCTTCATCGAAAAGTTCTTGAAAATTACCAGACTGAACTGGCACCTGGTGCAGGCCTAATACTCAAACATGTGAGTGTAAAAAAAAAAAAACATTACTGGGGTACTTAAGTGTTTAACTCTGTGAAATTATTAACATGAAACTTCTGCTTATAATATCCATACATTGCCCTGAAAACGAGAATACTCGAACTTATCAGGTAGAAGTTTACAAGGAAATGTGTAGCAGCTGGAGGGGGAAATTCAGAAATCAAGCCATGTCATGCCCCCCTTTTGTTTCTTTGGGTTACCAAATTCATGGTGTGACTTAGCTGCCAGTGTTTACAGTACTCCTTGTAGCTTTATTAACCATGGTCTTTTTTGATGTTTTTATTTTTTTGATGTACAGGTGTCTGTTTTCAGTCCTGCCCCAAGGAAGCATTACCTCAACATCACCCCAGGCAATATTTTACAGATCTATCCACCCGACCCACAGTACATCATCAGTAACAGCCAGGCTCTGGTAAGTACAAAAACACCAACAAAAGAAGTGAAATCTTGTAACTTTTTTTTTTAAAGTTTCCAAGCTTCTCATTTGGATAGTTATGTACATGATTATAGTATGTAAGGGAAATGTAGTTCCTACCTTCATAACGAATGCAACCACAACCAAAAGCAGTTGTTCTTCACATGTAGGCATTGAGATACAGTGCACTAAGCATTCGTACGCGAGGTTTAGTGGGAATTGCTGGGAGTTTTACAGTCAGGCTCTGGTTAGTACAAACAAAAAAAGGGAGATGAAATCTTATAACTTTTATTTAAAGTTCCCATGATTGCGGTATGTTGGAGAAATGTAGTAACTACCTTCAAAATGATTGTAACAACGACAAAAAATAGTCGTCCTCTAGGTTATTAGCTAGAATGCACTGTGCATTTATATGCAAGGTTGAATGAGAATTGCTGTGATTGTGTGGAATTATTGTGCTGATTATTTAAACCTTTTTTTTTTTAGGCCTCTCAGTGCACACAGAAAGAGAACAAACAAGATCAACAAAGGTAAATGATTTTTGTCGCATCCATACACCAAAATGCTGTGAATGTTCCCGCAACCCTTTCAGCACAATTATATTTCGTGGGTTTCCCACTAGAGAGGTGCATGCTATTTGCGGAATTCGTTAAATCAGGGAGACGATTCCGAAAAGAAAAATTGCCTCTTCAGTAAGACCATTCAGGAGAAAGGCCCCATCTTCCCCGTTCCCCTTCCCTCGCTCCCCGCTAGAGCCCCCAGGGGTTCATTAGTACATTAACAGTGTTTTTTAAGCCCCCAGGGGTTCATTAGTACATTAACAGTGTTTTTTAAGCCCCCAGGGGTTCATTAGTACATTAACAGTGTTTTTTAAGCCCCCAGGGGTTCATTAGTACATTAACAGTGTTTTTTAAGCTGATGCTTAATGACACATCCAGTCAGTTTTTCCACTTTTTTGGAACGATTGTGCCTGTTAATGTTTTACTTCAAGGTTTGCAACGAAGATTAGACACCAGTATACGAAGCTATTACTCAACAATTTTCGCAATTTTTAACAGGATTTCTATAGAAGACGAGGATATCAGTGAAAAAGCAGAATGCGGTACTAGTGAACTAGTGAATAACTCGGAAGAAAAGACGACCGAAACTACAGAACACGAGTGGATTCAGCACGGTGAATTCATTTATGCATGTTGACTTCTTTTCTTTAAACAAAGAGTTAAAAAAAAAAAAAAAAACGATAAACACAAAGTGAAAAAAAAGGTGTCCTCAGGAAGCAAATTCCCTGACCAAGAATCTTGTATCCGTATTTTACCAAAGTTCGTCGAAATTGCTCTTTGTCCTTTCTCCAGGCTTAAAAGAGCGACAAGAATCGACAGGCAATTTGTCTTCGTGTCGTGCTGTCTTAGCTGGAGAACATATGAAAAGAACTATGATACTTAAGTCTTGCTCTTAGAGCTGTTACCGAGATATTGACAGGCGTACCACATAAACGTGTTTGGAAAATGATCTTGGTCAAAGGGCCAAAAACAAAAACCAAATTTCAAACTGTTGGTCGTATTGTTTATGAAGGTTTTAATAGTTTCTCTATCTGGACCACTAGAAAACATATTTCCTCTAAAGAGGCATTTGGTAGCTTGGTCTTTTCATTGTTACTTTGATGTTTGGTTTGTTTCTTTGTTGTTGCTAAGTTGTATCAAAATGAAAAGTGACGCCTGGTAATTCTTTCCGTTAGATGGCTTTGATGATCTTTTGGAAGGCCTTGACGATGACGAAGACTTCCTTGACGAGGCTTTGCTCTTGTAGAAGTAGCACCTGACCTTGTGCAGAGGTACAGCTGTATCTTATAGAATATGTTTTCTGTCTTTGTCACGAGCTGTATCTTGTTTCCTTGTAAAATGGAAGGTTGGAGATTGTCGCAAAAAGCCGACAAGATTACCAGTGTCGTAAGTTTTTAAATGTATAAGAATAACAGCAAGTTAAGAAATTGGAACCCGTTTAACCCTGACTCGGCATGTTAAATGGTGTTGGAGGATATGGTTTGGTTTGTAAGTGAATGTGATCGATTGTGAGCCAGAAATATCTCTAAGAGCATAATGTATACCAATTTGGTGTAAAGATCACGCGAACATAGTTGGCCAGCGGTTCACTCTAGTCAAATTGTCAAGAAACAGTCACGTGTTCTCCTTACGTCTTTACTCGACGTGCTCAAAGTTATGCTTTCCCGTTCGGTTTTTTCTTCGAACAATTCCGACAGCGTCATCGCCATTTATTCGTGTACGATTGTGAAACATGTTCTGCACGTTAGAGGGAGATTTCAGCGAGGAACGGAGAATTGTAAACCGTGAAACTTCAGCTTACGGCCAGAGCAGTGTCGTACGAGACAAACAAGAATGGTATTTAATACAGATATCCAGAAAGATGCATAAGAAACAAGAAATTTAAAGTGGAAAGCACATCTCGACCTGACATTTGAAAATGTTTATGATATAAGGACTTAACTGGAAGTCGACCCTGTATTCTTTGTAGTGCTGAAATTTAACCTTTGTGAATAAAGGAAGATAAAGGAAACTGATTGTTGCAAATGAGTCCTTGCCTTTCGGAGGCATAAAGTCCCTTTCAACTATTAGAGGTACATGGATAGAAGTTAATTTTATCAAAGCAAAAACCATTCCAAATATATTTTTTAATAATGAATGCTTTTTATCAAAAGCATCCTATATATCGTTCGAGGAAGCAGTTGAGTCGAATGGCAGTCCCTTCAAGGTTCTTTACTTTACGAAAATATTCCCACTGCCTCATGTTATGGAAGAAGAAAACTTGCAAAGGCTGTATCAAGAATCTAAGTCGATTTGCGACGTACATGATTTTGAAATCGAAAACTTTAGTATGCACTCTGATGAAACTTGTCGAAACGTGAAGAAGAGGTTTGTTTGGACTTTGACGTCCAGCAGAATAATTAAACAAATTCATGCAATAAACTTAAGGTAATTTAAGACTTTGGCCAGATAATCGATATGTAAATTCAAGAGCTTATTTTGTGCTTTCAAACTGATTGGGTTGATTATTCACGTACCTTTGCAAGTTCTATCTAATGGTGGATACGCCACAAGAACCATCTCAGGCTGAATTCAGATTTCTTTTGAAAAGTTTCACTATCAACGACTTACGGATAGCACTTAACTAGAGCAGTGACCTACAATTTAGGAGTTTATAAAGCTCCGCTTCTTTCGGGGGGTTGGCTTCCGAAGTGGCAACTTTAACATATGCTATTGATTTCTGTGCTTGAATCACTCATTTCTCTTTCCATCACAGCTTCCCTATGCTGTCATATTCAACAGACTTATCTTCTTTTGAGTAGCTATCACCGAGAGCAGTCTTCAATCGAGTGTCAAAAATAACAAAAGGTTGCTATCGTTACGTGACTGATGTAGAAATCTTGCGTCACCTCCTCGACCAGTGATGCGAAAAACTAAACCCAATCGTGATTTACTCACTTGCTTTTTTTGTCACGCTTTAGTTTGGTTTCAAGCGTTTACTTTAAGTTCTTATTAGCTCCTGGTTGATAAAATTACCCTTGTTTGATTAGCCGTAATGATTACTTTAGTTTTGCCTTATTCTATGACTCTCAATCAAAAACCACTTTATTCTCCCGGACTCAGTTGTCCACAGGGCGGAGAACGCTATATAACGGAAGCGTACTGCGGTATCCACCGAGTAGAGATTTATGCAGTAGGTGGCCTTATTTCCTCCTCCTCCCTTTCCCCCTCCCCCCACCCTTAAACATCCGGGGCCTCGTAATTTGCAGTCGCACTAAACTTTGAATTTAAAGTCTTCTTCGTTATAATGTAGAAAGGTGACCAACTTGACAGAACTGATACACAAATTTTACTAATTTAATAACTAGTTCTCTCAGCTGCTAAACAGAACTGGTGGCGGTACCATTTTCCTCTGCCTCTTCGTATTTTCTTTTCGTAGATTTAGGATTATAGAAAGTTTTTAGCAGTAAGTTACTTCTTCTCTTATTATGGAGGTAGTCTGATATATCCGGGAATTCTGCCGCGGCCTTGTTTTTATTGGGGTCCAGTAACTTCCTCTTAACGGCGGCCGAGTGCTTTCGCGTTCCTGTTTTTTCGTGGAAATTTTCACCCTTCATGTCTTGGTATATGAAGCCCGCTGCGAAGAGTCTGTTCTCGAGGGAAAGAAAAAGAATGGCGACCAGCGCCAGGGAAGCACCAAGAAAGAAAACACCGCTTAACGAGTGAACGTTAAGTCTTTGGTGATGTTCTTCGCTTCTGTCCTCGCCTGAAGAAACCCACTTCTTGTAGAGTTCGCTCGGCCTGTTAATAAGGGCAAAATTAGGCTTTTCACGCTCTAATTGAAAGCTCGCGCCACCCTTTGAGGCAATAAGATTCAAGCCAAAGCCAATCATAGCTCGATGACATGCGCTTTCGAGCGTTCGCCACAACTTCGTTCCCATGGTCTCTCATTTTGCCGCCCCTCTTTTCTCGCTTCAGGGGGTGGAAAGATGAGAGACCTTGAGAACGAGGTTGCATTTCCTGCACTTTGCCTAAGCTTATGTCTCGTTTGACTTTCATGAGATCCTTGTTTTTGTCTTCTTTTGTCCTGGTCGACAATTTTCTTTACTTTTGTTATGGCTAACACAAATATTTTACGACAAAGTTGTGTTCGTGCGTGACATGAGCCTTGGGCCTCAACGCTTAAGAATGACCAGTCAGGGACCGCGCAGGGGGTGGGGCCGGGGAAGCTTTAGCTCCCCCCCCCCACACTTTTTTGGCTGATTAAATCACTATTTTTTTTACTTAGAAGTTAGTCTAGTCATTTAAATTTGGTGAAACGCGAAGGCCAGTTTGTTTCTCGTTGTTTTATAAGAATTAAAAATTAACTTCACTTTTGGCAGTTGTAGATCCATTTCTAGCCATTTCAGAAGACTTTAATTTCAAAATTTCCCCGGGGGAGCGTGACCCCCCTAGTTGGCTCACGCTAACGCGTTCGCATTAGCCCCCAACCCCCTCCACTTGAAAATCCGCTCTGCGGGCCCTGACCAGTATCTAATTTCTCTATACATTACCACTACTGAATCAAACAGCGAGGTTACGAGAATACAGGAATGGATCACCCACTCAAGAAACTCTTGATAGTTAACGAAATTCTCATTATTGATACCACGGGAAATTTTTAGAGAACAGTGAAGAGAAAATGCATATTAATGTTAGGGTGTTTGCAAAAGTCGTTGTAAACTTAGCATCCTCATCGGCAAAGGAGACAGGACCTTGAAAAATGTCGGTACCTTTCATGCGAGAAGATTTTTGATTCGTTCCCTGCAAGTGTAAGGCAAAGAAAACCGTGCATGGCAAAATTCAGGAAACAACGAGTAATCCGGAGTATAAAATTGAATTCAAAATTTCCAAACCTTCTGGTTTGATGACACTTTCCGAGATTTTTTATATTTTTAATTTTAGGTGGCCTTTTCACTGTCGATATAAAATCATTTTTGTGACATTTTTCAAAGTCGACTACCCGGGCGATTCTCACTACAACGCACATAAAGCGCACCCACTCACATGTTTTCGGCTTTCATCCTGTTGATGACCAAGTCAAATTTCGGTTTCCATGGGGAGTTTTTCTTAAACGCGTAAGAATATCCACTCTCAGCGAAAGGCTTAGCTGCTCCAACCACTTGTAATCGAGGGTATGACAGAGATTTCTGTTTTGCTACTTCGTAGTCAAGCGACAAAACCTCACTGATGAAAATGTCCAATTTCCTGAGGAAGAAACATGGCGTCAGTTGATAATTGCTGATAATTGCAGTTGATAATTGCTGAAGGTGTGATGGGTGAATGGTGAGCAAAAGGGACAAAAGGACTGGGTCTGAGCTCAGGATGGGTCATTTTCTTTTGTTTATGGGTGAGGCCCTTTACTCTCGTAATGCGTCTCCACCCAGGATTTTAGCGGGAGAGAGGAGGGAAAAGTGACGCATCTGTTGACCACCAATCTACGCGGGAGGAATAACAATGTTTGTTCTCCCTGCATGCTGTGCAAACCGATGGGCTCTAGCAATCTTAGTTTCTTTCACAGTCATTCTTTAATATAAGGAGGGAAGAGGGGGCTTTTGTTTCGTGGCATCGTATGGAACGGCTATGAAAACGTCTTCGGCTACGCGGTTTACTTTATTGGCCCAGTTGCTGGAAGCGTAATAAAGCTGTCCAAAGGACAAATCGCTATCCAGCAGATAAGAGTTAACTAAATTTACTGTGCTATCCACCGGATAGAGATTTATTAATCGGATGGCCGCCAATAGCATTATCCATCTCTCTAACAACCTTTGTCTTTGACGCCTTTTCTTACGCGTTTAACTAAAGCACCGAGACGCTTTGACGAGGCTATTATAGGAGGAGAAAAAACAAGTCAAACCTGTTCCGAACTCGTACCACTCCGTCCGTGAAGTTATTTACCAAGTGTTTCTTATCACGCATGCGCATGAACATGGACTGCATTATAGGATCTTCGTTTAGTTCAAAGTAAGAATCCACGTAGCTGGACTTCACGACCCCGTATGTAATCTTCGAATCTGGATCTGTGATCTAGAGGCGAAAGCAAAGTTATTTCAATTCAGTTCGTCACATAAAGAAAATTGACCAACTGTCCGTCAAGGGTGAGGACTTATAAGTGTCATCCTTTAATGTTGTGATTTTGACGTTAGAAGGCCATGTTTCTGCCCCTACTTTCAGAATGGGGCTAAGTGCGAAACCTTCCCAGTGAAAAGGATGTTTATTTCCAAGAGAATAAAATATGCTCTTCATGTCAAAGCTTTGTACCTACCCTTCTTGCAAGATGGCTCAAAACAGTTTCACTATTTTAATGAAATTTATTTGATTTATCAATACCAAAATTCGTTATTGTATCACTAAAAATGGAATAAAAAAATTCTAATTATTTCTCGACATTTGCTAATTGTTGTCACCTTTTAGGTTACCATAGAAACGCCCAAGCCTCTTAGAGACACCCCTAGTTAATACTTAACTATTCTGTAGCTCTAAAACGAGTCTGATCATTCGCCACTTTTATCAATTTATTGCAGTCAGCATATTTAGGTTCATCTTTTTGCAAAGCTTTAAAAAGATCTGTAGGGGCTGTTTAGAGCCGCCTGATTCCAATTCAACTTGGATAAACATGTGTCATACCCTTAGGAACTGATAAATTCCATTCCGTACGCTCACCTTTGGATCCCGGATGCCGGTGACCTCCGGCTTGGTGTCATCAGATAATAGATGAGCTGTCAGGTTAGCCGTGTATGAAGTCACGCACATCAGCGCAAAAATCGCCAGGAACACCGCCATGGCTCGCGCACTCAAACTGCGCGGCCTAGAGTCCACAAACTGGTTATCAAAACAAACTCCCCAGCAGTACCACATGCTCTCACTGAGGTCAAATCCATTGTGGTTTTTGGCTCGGAATGACTTGCGATGGCCGTAAGGGCTCAAACGGTCTGTAAACCACAGGAGACCCAGATAGAAATTCACCACTCCTATCATACCCATCCATAAATAAATCGTAAACGGTCGAAAGAACGAGAAGTCGAGTTTTTCGACCTCTTGCTCTCCCACGAGCACGAGCAAAGCGAGACCTGCGTGCGTCCAGCGCAAAGAGAAATCGATTACCTCCGAACGTGCTTCGTTGGTCATGAGATCGATGGCGATGTCTGCTTCTTCTTCCAAGATGTCCCGTACAATACCATTCCACGTGCCCGCCGAGGAGTTTTTGGCACCGTAGTTTCCATCGCGAACAAAATATATCAGTGGTTCAAACTGGAGTTGTGTCTTGACATAGCGGAGCACATCGATTGCGAGTCCATAACAGCAATACCTGGTAAAATTTTGGGAATCTCCGTTGTACTTTTTGCACTCTAGCCCTTGATAGCATCCTTCGCTCTCGTCGAAGTCGGCTTTCATGGTTAAAGGAGGATATTCCACTACTGCAGCTAGAAGCCGAGGAATTTCTCCGATAGTTTTATCCGTTTCCTGATTTGATTCTTTCAGTTGCAGTGTTAATCCTTTGCTTGTCCATATTCCTATTTGCACCCAGCCTTTGTCCTGCTCATAAGGTGTTTGTAGATAAAGAATTTCGTAAGAAGGATGTGCATTGTTAGTTTTGTGTCCCATCTTGTTTGAGTCGTGTGAGTTAAAACTCGCCTCGAGTAATCTAAAAGCAGATTGCACCACAATTAAGAAATTATTGATGATTGTTACAGGTTTGTAAGAAACAGCTCAAATTGTGAAGTATTTGAAAAAGTGAAGTTGTATCGGGGAAAAATATTTTTTCTTTAGCATTTAAAAAAAAAAGTTGCTGTACGCGTCTGTCATGCAACGCCTCCAATCGGTATACCATGGATTGTCTCGATCACTACAGTCCTACGCGAGAGTTTCTTTAGCAATTTCCATTTAGTGTCGAGAGTTATCAGAGATCACTACGGATTTGTTTCACTCTGCAGTGTGATTGGCCCAAAAACCCCGCGCTAGCCTCTCGCTATATCAAAACTTTGACTAATCGCGTTTCTTTCACTCCTGTGTTCCCGCGCTTTCTTACTTTGAATTCTAATTGGTTCCTTGTGATCTTTTCTTTCGTCTTGATTGGCTGTGATTTTGGTTTCGCAACACTCAATGAAAAACGTTCTACTAAGACATGTGGACGGAGGGTTGTTCCATGGTAAGACCACTAGAGAGCGTTGCGTTCGGTGCAGGGCGATGAGGTTTATTTTTTTCGGTCGAATTTGCTCTTGACTCTCATATTCCGACTTAAGAGTCACGGATAGCCTGAAAAGTCATGGAACTCAACATTATCGCCCACAGAGCCATTCTTCAGAGCGAATAGCGAAGGGCTAATGCTCAAAACGTCCGCCTTAGAAACATTGTCAACTCAGCTGATAAAAAAAAAAAAAAAAAAAAAAAAAAAAAAATCAGTTATCTTTCTCTTACACTCTAATGCCGTGCGCTTTCTTGAAGACGACTGTGCGTGAATCAGTCAAATTCAGAAATCGGGTCGGGTCTACAGAATTGGGAGGTGATCACTCATAATTTAGTCAGTACCTCTTAAACCTTCCGTAATATTCTTAGCAACACCTCCCCCTTGCCCTTAAAAAAAACATATCATTCTTACCTGTGCAATTCCATGCCTTTTTCCCACGCTGAAGAGTTGTAACAATCACCGGCTGAAGCCGTCCTCAAATATTGATGTACTTCTGTTTCATTCATTGATTCAAACGTACTCTGAATAACTGACAAGCTGTGATTTAGTAGTGTTCTGTCGAACTTTTGTACGCTTTGAGAATATCTACGGGATCTTATAACGTAAATAAAACTTGGTAAAGTATAAAAACCTTGTATATTTTCAAGTGACCTTTCAGAGATTATCCATAACATTTCATCGTTGATGAGACGAAAATCTTTTGCGATCCAAAGAATAACGTGTGCTAGCTTTGAGTCGCAGTAGAGGTAAACTGCATGAGCTGTGCTGGATTTTATCTTTAATAAATGCTTCATTATTTCTCCTTCCTGGATATTAGGCGATCCAAGGTTGATGATAGTTATATCTGCAAATTCGTTGTCGTGGTAATGTTGAAGGGCCAGCCCGTGCGACATGTCATCGCTGACTATAACATACGCTTGTCTCTTCCGAGAAAATTTAAGGAAATCGAGGAATACTGTAAACTGCAGGACCTCGGATGGAACGCTACGAACAAGTGTGCTAAAGTATTCCTGTAAATAACGAAGAACGCATTATTTAACTACAGAACATAACAGCGCTGCTGTAGTGTGGTCGCTCGCGTGCGGAGCCACCTACTCAGGGAATTAAAGGAACGCAACTCACCAAGTTCGCCGTCACGTGATAGCTTTTGGTCCGTGCGCGCAAAAAAAAACAAAGATTTCGGAGATCGTATTCTTTTCGCTACCAAGATTTTAATATTAATTTCCTTCTCGTGACCCATACACTTCTTGTGGTGTTTTTCGGAGAATTTGGTATCGGATCAGCTAATAATCCCCTTAGTAGTATTTTTCTTTACTCTTATCACTTGTCTGCTTGATGCTGTAACAATATTGTTAAGAGAAATTCTGATTTGGTCACTTGTGGTAGTCAATAAAAGGATGAAGGGAAACTGCCCAAAAAGATAAGTTCACGACACGGGAGAGTTTGGCAGTCTCCCGCCAATGAACAACGCGTCCAACGTATTCGAAGAGCTAAACTCTTAGCTAAGACTCCATAACATAATTATTCTTTGTATCACATTGACCTTGCATGATTCAACAGTTGCTAGCAATTATAATTGGTTTCTAAATACGTCAATCTATTTTAGGAACACTACTGTACTGTCTATCTTTTCATACTTTTTCACCTTTATGCATTTAAATGTATCGATTTTGTAAGCTAGTCAGTCGCATTTAAGCCTAAATAATTACACTTATTCGCATTGATTTGGAAATAAGCCGTGTTGAGCACACAATTTCGAAGACTTAAGCGATTGGTATTCACTTTCTGCTTATATGGCTAAATTTCAGTCCGTGGGCTCTTTGACATTGCTAAACAGCGAGACCTCCCTTCAAGTATGTATTTAAATTGCTCATGACCTTGACTCTCAGTTTGAGTGCCAATTTGAAAACAATGCTATATCAAGATAAATATTTCATACATTTTTTTGATTTTTTTCCAAAACCATAATGTCGCGTGCGTCCTATTTTAATGATATCGCCACGGGTGAACACTCCATTCTTCAACTCTTCCTATTTTGGCCTGCAGTGCGCTTTGAATGTAACCATTACTGGCAGTGACTGTGATTTGGGAACTGAAACAGTGAAATTTAGATTTCGGGTAAAGTTTAGCACCATATCAAACACACGCAGAAATCGATGCATTTTGCATCAACTGATATGTTTTCTGATACTGAGGGTTTTGAATGTTTTTTTGCACGCAAAGTAGAGGGTTCGTATTTTCCTGATTCTAGATAACAATGCATTAATTTTCCTCTGTAGCGATAAAAGTGAGAAAAATAATTGTATGCATAGATCTCGTTAGATTTTTTCTTGAGCCTCGACGGCGCAATAGCTCTTTGGATCGATTCCGCTTTTAACAGTCCATATGTTTTCATATGCCTACTGAGCGGATGTTACACGACTTTATGAGGCTTCCATTAGCATGCATCACGTAGAGTCTGTCCCACGTTTACTCGAACGGAAAACGGCGAGAATTAAGAAATTTTCGTTCAGTTAAAATATTTGCACATGTTTTCCAAAGGCCATTTTCAGTCGGTTTTGGAACTGTTAAGGTAAACGAAAGAGGTAAAAATCGACGGTCGATTTCGAATCAAACGCGACCCTATATAAGATCGTCCGTCCTCCATTATCAGATTTTTTACTGAAAACGAAGCTGATGATAAGGTGACAGCAAAACGTCTAAATGCTACCGGGTCTCTCTCACTAATTTTCTTGTGTGAAAATCCCAGATCAAGTCAATTTTTTGTTTTTTTCTTTCACGCCTGTTAAAAAATAAATGAAAGAAAGTTTTCCTTGAAAAGGCAGACCTCCTTTGGAAGTTTATTTGCTCATCAACCTGAAAGAAATATGACATTGCTTTCTTGTAAATTGTTAATTTTGTCAAATTAGCCTCTTTTTATATTTTTGTCGGTTGAGTACACTCGATAAAGATAGTTCTCTTTCATGTGTGGGCATTGATGCAGGAACATTGTGACAATATTGCAATTTACTGGAGGCTACTCATTAGCGATTCGTTGACGCGAGAAGATAAAGGAAAACCACAGCAAATGGGATCAAAGTTTATTGGTATACCACCTGTCCATTTTGTTATATCTCCGACATTTCTCAGGAACCGTTTCATTGATCCAGCCATTAATTAACAGCGGATAGACTCATCATGTTACATAAATGTGCCGCGTGGTGCTTTGATTCAGTTCCTTTGACAACTCACTGGCAATCTGATATTTTTTAAATTTTTTCTTTGGCAGGCCACCGAAATGATATTCATATTTTTAGAGTAATATTTGTTCCCTTGATCAGGCACGTGTGCCATGTGGAACCTCTATCTTCCCTCTGTTTGACGCTTTAAGTGTTCATACTTTTCAAAGACAAGTTTTCTTTCTCTTGGAAATTCTAAAAAAACATGGAATTAGAATGTATGGCTTGTTTCTTCCTATTGCGTGAAAGTCTCATCATGCGATTGTGGTTTGCGCGAAGGATACTAACTTTTTTACTTGAATCTTGGTAAAAGTATTGTAAATAACATTGAAATTAATTGTATTTGTAAATTGAAACACGACATGAGAGACGCAAATAATTCTGTTGAACGCCTTGACTCAAGTGAAACTTCAAGCGCTAACATTGAATGTAAACGTGGGTAAATTGTTTCCATAAAAGCTGAAAGACATGGCACGAGTTTATTAAAAGAAACACGTGGACATATCATGAGAAATTTACTTTGAAATCGGAGAACTTTGGCCGTCAAACTTTATCAGGTAAAATGACAGATTTCATAACCTTCGCTTAACTTAAACAATAGTATTGAACAGACAGTTCATGTTTTCAAACAATGACAGTATGTGTGCTGAAAAGAACTTGAAACAGATTGAAAACTGGATCTCATATCTAAAATTGTAAATTTTTCCTTACGTCACTAGGAATGTGTTTTTCAAAACTGTACATAAATGCCACAAGAGCGATATGATTAACTCAGCTTGCAAAATGTAAATGTTCTTTTGTCTAATGGAAGATATTTGCATCTTTATTGATACCTTCCTCTGATCTATCTCGTGAAGTTAGACAACGACTAAGAGTCTCAAGTGGTGATTATGATTCTCATCATTGAGATAGAGTGTAGCATACTAGCCATGAAAACAAGTCGAATGAACCCCCAGTTCGTTATGCTCCATAAAAGCTTTTCCAACAAAACTAAAGAAATGGCATTTCCCTTTGGCAAAATGTGATTTAAAAGGTTCTACCGGATATGACAGCGATAGCATCAGACAGGATGTCGCGTTTAAATCGCACGTAAATTTCGAGAGGGCACTCAGTGAAATCTGTTATCTCTTTTGGTGGCTTTGTATTTAATCGCATTAACAGTCTGTGGTAGAATCAACATTGGTAAAATCTTACTGTTGTGGTAAACTGCACGTCCAAACAAGGTTTCTGTGTAGAAGTGAAAAACCTTCACGGTTTACGGTTTGACTTTAAATTAGAAGTCAACTATATCTGTAAAAAGTGGAGAAGCTTTGTTGCTATGGTCACGAACGAGTTTCTGTAGGCAATTTGCCTTTGTTCAATTCGTTAAAAATGGTGTCGTAGTACTTTTTCAATGTCAAACTAGCTGTAAATATGCAATGAAATTTTTGTTTTGTTTTTGACGCTGAGAAAAAAAAGATGCCTCTGTTTCATCCAACTGAATTTTTGGTTCAATCAGCAAAAAAATAATTTTAACGCCAGATATTTCGGCTACAAAGAAGGTTGAATCACAAAAGTTCTGGTCTTTTAAATAGTAATGATGATGACATGGAAACATTTTGATAGAATCCCCAAGAAAAATTACATTTGATCGACTTGTTTGTTTTGCCGGAACTAATCCTGACTTTTTGTCTGTTTTCAGAGACACGATTCTTCAGAAATGTCACATTTCTTTTCAAGGAATTTATCATAATGGCGAGTGAAGTACAGGGTAACGATGATGTGAGTGGTGAGCGGAAAGAAAAGAGTCGAAATTTTATACTTGTCTTACCTTATCGGACAGCAGGGGTTCTCGACCAAAACTTTCTATGACTGGTATTTTAAAATACGAAGCCAAATTTCCCACAAACTGCGTGAGCTCCGGGCTTCGCGTTTGCAACACAATCACAGAGATGTTGTTTTGTACAATATCGACGCAAAATCTTCTCGAAATGTCCTCAAACGACAGCCCGTTTAGCAGAATCGTTTGGTTTTGGAGGAAGATTTTTGTCAAAGTGGTGTTCCGGTGATAGTCAGCGAGGTCCTGCTTTCCAAACAACGTCTCGCTTGGTGAGATACGATCCAAAAAAATTCCAACTTTCACATTTGTGAAATGCGTCCTTCCCTCTGCCAGTAGAAACAGAGTAAATATGCAGTAAAGAAAATGGATTCTCCTTAAAATTTCCTTGAGTTTGATAAACAGCATCAGGAATAGCTTTTGAGCAACGCTGTCTTAGATCGAGCAAGCCAGAAGGTTTCGCTTTAACTTAGCGCATGCTCAAACAACATCGTCGTTTTCTTTCAAAATCTGAGTGCATTTTGAGTCTTCCCGTCACTCACAGAGTGTATACGTGATCCGTAATGACCAAGGGAAAACTTCCGCTGCAACGGCCTGAGAGAAATCAAAATTTGAAGAAAAACTGAATTAAAAATTTTGTACGCAAACACTGTAGGATCTTAATTTTCTAAAAATGGTTTTCAGTCAAGTCGTAACGTGAACTGCAGATTATACAAAAATCAGCTATGAATCTGAAGTTAAAAAAAAATTACAATTTGTAAAAGGACTTAGGTGATTATGATAAACAAAAAAATAAAATACGGCTTTCATTTACCTCGTCAGTTGTTTAGACGTGAGTTACGGACTGAAAGCTAAGAAGAGGTGATTATCACAGCGATAGCACAGGGAACTAAGCGAAGATAATGAAAAATTCATTTCGAATGCTTGTAAGTCAATCGCACAGGTTTTAAAAATTGAAAAAAGAGCAAACATTCGCCAATTAAATTCGGCTCGTGCTGAAACATTATTTCGGCTTTTCCTTTGGCAGAGAGAAATATTGCTCTGTGATTGAGTCCTTGTTTCTTTGTTTATGGCATCTTTAACTTTAATTTGAAATTAGCAAAAGCGGGTATGCAAATATTGGACACCAAGGTTACAGAAGGATCTCGAGTTTGGGTGGAAATTAAACCTTATTGTATGCGCAGCAATTTTTTGAACACGGAATCAGGAAGCAAAGCGCCAAGCTGGTCTGTGTACAGTACAGTCCTTTGAAAGAAACTAGCAGTTACTGTTCTATCCAAAATTATGGTAGTGAGCGAAAGTAGCTGGTAGACCTATTTTTTTTTTTTTTTACCCTGTGGCAATTAAACCACAATGCCTTAAAAGAATAGCGTTCTACAATTTCGTGTTAAAATTTCGAAAATATAAAAACCGCGTCAATGGATTCACTTTACTCCGGGTTTCAAAACATTCCTGCTGAGAGAAAGGACTATTTATACGGAATCCTTGTGTCGCAACAGCACGAATCTTCAGCGTATCTTCATCTCTGCAGGCACTGTAGTTTTACTGGGACATTAAAACTCAGCACAGTTTTGGCGAATTTTGATTAATTACAATAAACTGCATCGGTAGACCCATTTCACAAGTCAGTTGGCTCTTAATTTCTCACCACCAGATGCCTACAGTTTAAATACTTTAAGTTGATATATTTCAAGTACTTTTTTCTGTCAAAAAGTACGTTTATGCAAAAAAAAAAACTATGTTTAACAATATACATTTCACTTTAGTCATTATTTGTAATGTTTCTTTGTGAATTGCCCGTAGCAAATTATTAATATGTTCCTTAAATTTTCAGAAGCAATTTAATGGGCAGAAAATTTGTAAAATTGAATTCTAGATTAAAAGATTAAAATTGTGTTTGAAGCAAATCGGTTTCAAATGAGAATAGAAAGAGGATCCGGTTGAAATTGATATAAAAACCTAGTTTATCTTTTACCGATATGAATCGCCGATGATAATCAAATTTAAAATATGCACGCATCAGAGAAATAGCTTTCCTGCGGTTTGTGGTCTCAGCTGCCTAATTTAAAAGCAAGATTTGACAAAGAACTCGTTTCTTTAACTTTTCCATTCTTTGCTGAAGTCGTCAGTTTAAAACGCACTTCGAACTGATTTTGGAATATAAAATTGAGAGGCCCTAGACTAATGACGATCGAGGAAAATAGTGATTTTCATGAAATAAAGAAAAGCGTGGAAAATTACTGCTCTGATGGAGGGCAGACGAGCTTTCATTAGTCTTCTAGCAGGCTGTAGACACACGTTTCTGTTTTTAATCGCGAAGGGAAGCGAAATAAAAATACAGGAAGTGTTTATATCTGATGAAAGAGATGATGAATAGCTCTCGTGACCTCTTGTAAGAGGATGTATTTTAAATTCATTTCTGGTTACTTGAGATTATGTCTCAGATCAATTCATTTTGCCGCTTTAACAATGAAAATCACCTGTCACTGTCAACAGATACAAAAGCTAGTGCACCAAATTGCATTTACACTTTCCATGAAATGCTTACCATGGGTCTAGTACGGCCTGCTTCGCCGCTTAAGGTACCTTTCCACAGCTTTCACGCATGTTTTGACTATTTTCATTCAGAGAAATCTCGAGTGTAAAACTATCAACAGCCAGTAAAGCTTAGCCGGTTCGAGGTTTGACTACGTATGTGGGAATAAAGCTAATTTAAAATTCATTAATTCGGGCCCATAACATGTACACACTAATTTGTTAAGTATCATAAGCTGGTATTGAGTAGCGCATTGTTTTCAAAATTATCTCGACAGAGTTGGAAAATCAGTGAATCGTAACTGTGAATGCGCTCTATCACGTTACGAGAATAATTTCCTTCTTTTTTTTTCTTTTAAGCCAGTGAACTAAAATATAAAAGTAAATATTTTGATCACTTAGGAACAACATAGAGTTTTGAGTTCTAAAATATTTTTAAAAGAAATATACGGTAGGTTGTATTTTTTTTTTTTTAGGAGAGGGGCGGACGATGTATCTTGGAGCTAGAAACAAGTTATGACATCTGTTAAGCTGCCTTATGACAGAGCAAGTCGGAACACTTGACAATGTCATGGCAATTTCGATGTATTTCTGCTAGTTTAGATTCTAATTACTGGTTCGTCTTCTTCATAGCAATTGAGGATAGAAAGATGACTGAATTCTAACGACCAATTTCTTACTTCTTTTTTTTAATTAAAGGGAACCTCCACTGGTTTAACAATTAGCGCTCAAAATGTTCGAAATGTACTTTTCAATAGATCTGACATTAAAAAAATTTCCTTACCTAGCGATCTGATTTTTTTATCGTTTTCCAAAGAAGGTTCTAGCTGACACTTCGAATTTCCCGCGGCCGCCATCTTGAATAGTGCGCAGTGCACTCTGGGTTGATAACGCGTAATGGTTGCTCGGTACTCTTGTTGAATGAAGTGTTCGATCGGCGTTCGACATTTTCAGAATTAATACCTGACGCTTCGCAATATTCTTCGTCTCCTACTTCACTTAAAAAGTTAAAAAAGCGGAGGTTGCCTTTAATAATGTGTGACTCAGAAAGTTGACCAACTTTTCGCCTACACAAATTGTTACTCTAAACCGTTTACACCCTAACACTAGAATCTATTTTTCTCTTCACTTTTCTCTTTAACATTTCCTATGATATTAACACGGAAAATCAGTGTGATTTTAAAGCTTTATGATCATAAATCGGTGATTATTTTCTTCATTCTCGTTACGTTTACATTTGACCCAAGGGGGATATGTACGGGGAAATTAAAAGCCATCAAAGAGCGAAACTGCAATACAGCTATTTTTCTGCATTATTCAATTTTTTTCCTCTTTGTAAGAAATGTATCGATGACTGTCTCCCATGGAATGACCACTTTATCGTCGTTGCAAAAATCATACATACATACATACATACATACATACATACATACATACATACATACATACATACATACATACATACATACATACATAGGTTAGTTGACCACTCCCCATGAAGGCTTTTCAGGGCCAATTCCCACCCATCCCAGTCCAGGGGAGGACA